TGAGTTCGTACATCGGTGTTAAATTTGGAAAAGCAGCGACAGATCTCTTGAAATCACACAAACTTATATTTCGTAATATTGGATACAATAATGTATGAAAATCAGGTTAATGTTGGATACAATAATTAGATACGAGAAATTGTATGAAAATCAGGTTAATATTGGATACAATAATTAGATACGAGAAATTGTATGAAAATCAGGTTAATATTAGATACAATAGTTCGATACAAAAAAATTGTATGAAAATCAGGTTAATATTGGATACAATAATTAGATACGAAAAATTGTATGAAAATCAGGTTAATATTGGATACAATAATTACATACGAGAAATTGTATTAAAATATCGATCGCAAGATTTGATTGGCGAACCAAACAAACAGACGCGAAAGCAAGTTAAAGAAAATGTGGGAATTAGGTTGATATATACAATAATTATATACGAGAAATTGTATAAAAATCAGGTTAATATTGAATACAATAATTAGATATGAAAAATAGTATGAAAATCAGGTTAATATTGGATACAATCATTAGATACGAGAAATTGTATGAAAATCAGTTTAATATTGGATACATTAATTAGATACGAGAAAGCTTATGAAAATCAGGTTAATATTGGATACAATAATTAAATACGAGAAATTGTATGAAAATTAGGTTAATATTGGATACAGTAATCAGTAGAAGTTAAACAATTATTATAGTCAACCCCGCTTGACATCATTTTTCTTTTCAATTTGTTTAACGTGTAGATTTAACAGCGGTGTGTCCAAAGTGTTGAGAATTAGATGTAACTAGTTTAAAATAAATAATAATCTTTATAATCTATATATTGTTTGATTACTAATTACTTTTTATAGGTTTTTAAATTTGTCTAATTATGAACTTAAAAATTTAAAAGTAATCGCCCAGCCATGAAGTTTATTAATGTTTATTTATAGCTAACACGTAGCTGAAAGCTCTTTTTTGACATGTAACATCTGGAATTTTGTGGTTAAATAAGGAATTCATAAACGTTATTGCCGATTATCTTAAATATTTTAAGGATAGTTTGATGATGTATATTTTCTTTTCAGCACAGTCAAGTGTGATCTAGTTTATAACTGTGTCGGTGTACAGTTTAAAATCGTCTGTAGTTGACAGTATAGATAGGCGTGATAGGCTAGATAGGCTAGACCTGCAGTAATGTTAAAGTAAGTATAACTGTAGTGGACAGTATAGATAGGCTAGATCTGCAGTAAAGTTAAAGTAAGTATAACTGTAGTGGACAGTATAGATAGGCTAGATCTGCAGTAAAGTTAAAGTAAGTATAACTGTAGTGGACAGTGGACAGTATAGATAGGCTAGATCTGCAGTAAAGTTAAAGTAAGTATAACTGTTGAGGACAGTGGACAGTATAGATAGGCTAGATCTGCAGTAAAGTTAAAGTAAGTATAACTGTAGTGGACAGTAGACAATATAGATAGGCTAGATCTACATTAATGTTAAAGTAAGTATAACTGTAGTGGACAGTGGACAGTATAGATAGGCTAGATCAGCAGTAATGTTAAAGTATAAAGACTAATTAAACTTCATACTACTCATCATAGTCGCTTCTTGGAATTGTTTTAAAAAGGACATGTACTCAAGTTGTTATCTAACATGTTTGATGCTGTTGGCTAATAATACAAATTCAATATGTCCAATTAAAAAAATAATTAAGTAGGCCTGTGTTGCTTTAGCCTAAATGCCAACACACAACGGGATTTCCCGCTAACGTGTCTGTATTTAAAACTCTCGCCTTACGTGGCACAAAGAAGCGCCAGATTTAGAAACATTCAATATGGCCGCTGCAAGGCTGTAGCAAGTAAAAACGTATTAATATTTAGTCACGTAAGTAGGCCTAATTGGAATATTAAGCATTTAATTTACGTTTAAAAAGCATCATTATTAATTTAAGAGTATACATAATTTAAACGCTTCAAAATGAACAAGATAATTTGCGAGACATGTTTTATTTCATGCATTTGGTTGTATGTTAGGTTTTTTTTTACTTATCTATTATCTATTACTACTATTAGATCCCGAGATTATTTATACGTGTGAAATGTCTAGACTCACGAAATAAGATTAATTACACCTTTGACGTGTCTAGACTTACCATAAATGATTTATTATTTACTAATGTCGTAAACGTGAGTTATTTCAAATCTCCATATCGTGATGAAATAACATACGACGTACTTAAGCTGCAGTTACGTCGAATATGTGTTTATGGTCTACGTCTACGTCATATGTAAAATGGCACGTAAGATGCATATGTTTACACTTAAAAGACTGACAATAAACGAAATAAAAGCTGCTCAAATCCTTCAGTACAGAGATCTAATATGTTAAAAGTGATCTACCCTAAACAACTGTCGCTTGTTAAACGTCAGCAGACGTACAAATATGGGCGAACATTGACAAGTAACGTCTGCAGACGTCAATAAATATGGACAGACATCCGATAATTTTCTTGAAGTCGTTTATTTTTAAACCAAACTAGATAATAGAAAACGTTTAATAAAACAATGAAGATTTTAAACGGGTGTCACTGTCTTAACACTGTTGATGTCTGTGGCCTATTTGAGTGTACATTTGAGTTACCTACTACAATACTTTCATCCTGCACGTGTATCAGCCACGGAGATACTATATTATAATATACTGCATCATTTTATTTGACTACAGGCCGTAAACCCTTGCCAGAGTCAAGTGGTCATCGGACCTGGTAAAAAAAACATTATCAATCTTATAAAGCTGTAAACTCTGTGCTTTGAGTTGCCACTTAGTCATCAGACCTTAATGATACTACATCTACATATACGCTTTGAATTGCCACTAAGTCATCAGACCTTAATGATGCTACATCTAAATATACTCTTTGAATTACCACTTAGTCATCAGACCTTAATGATGCTACATCTAAATATACTCTTTGAATTGCCACTTAGTCGTCAGACCTTAATGATGCTACATCTAAATATACTCTTTGAATTACCACTTAGTCATCAGACCTTAATGATGCTACATCTAAATATACTCTTTGAATTGCCATTTAGTCATCAGACCTTAATGATGCTACATCTAAATATACTCTTTGAATTGCCACTTAGTCATCAGACCTTAATGATGCTACATCGAAATATACTATTTGAATTGCCACTTAGTCATCAGACCTTAATGATGCTACATCTAAATATACTCTTTGAATTGCCACTTAGTCATCAGACCTTAATGATGCTACATCTAAATATACTCTTTGAATTGCCACTTAGTCATCAGACCTTAATGATGCTACATCTAAATATACTCTTTGAATTGCCACTTAGTCATCAGACCTTAATGATGCTACATCGAAATATACTATTTGAATTGCCACTTAGTCATCAGACCTTAATGATGCTACATCTAAATATACTCTTTGAATTGCCACTTAGTTATCAGACCTTAATGATGCTACATCTAAATATACTCTTTGAATTGCCACTTAGTCATCGGACCTTAATGATGCTACATCTAAATATACTCTTTGAATTGCCACTTAGGTATCAGACCTTAATGATGCTACATCTAAATATACTCTTTGAATTGCCACTTAGTTATCAGACCTTAATGATGCTACATCTAAATATACTCTTTGAATTGCCACTTAGTCATCGGACCTTAATGATGCTACATCTAAATATACTCTTTGAATTGCCACTTAGGTATCAGACCTTAATGATGCTACATCTAAATATACTCTTTGAATTGCCACTTAGTCATCAGACCTTAATGATGCTACATCTAAATATACTCTTTGAATTGCCACTTAGTCATTAGACCTTAATGATGCTACATCTAAATATACTCTTTGAATTGCCACTTAGTCATCAGACCTTAATGATGCTACATCGAAATATACTATTTGAATTGCCACTTAGTCATCAGACCTTAATGATGCTACATCTAAATATACTCTTTGAATTGCCACTTAGTCATTAGACCTTAATGACGCTACATCTAAATATACTCTTTGAATTGCCACTTAGTCATCAGACCTTAATGATGCTACATCGAAATATACTATTTGAATTGCCACTTAGTCATCAGACCTTAATGATGCTACATCGAAATATACTCTTTGAATTGCCACTTAGTCATTAGACCTTAATGACGCTACATCTAAATATACTCTTTGAATTGCCACTTAGTCATCAGACCTTAATGATGCTACATCGAAATATACTATTTGAATTGCCACTTAGTCATCAGACCTTAATGATGCTACATCTAAATATACTCTTTGAATTGCCACTTAGTCATCAGACCTTAATGATGCTACATCTAAATATACTCTTTGAATTGCCACTTAGTCATCAGACCTTAATGATGCTACATCTAAATATACTCTTTGTATTGCCACTTAGTCATCAGACCTTAATGATGCTACATCTAAATATACTCTTTGAAATGCCACTTAGTCATCAGACCTTAATGATGCTACATCTAAATATACTATACACTATCCCCGGTAGAGACGTGACACAGACCCTCCTACCCGTTTAATTGCATTAATTTACTGATGTTTATCACTAACACGGTACAATCTACTATTTACCGTTAACATGTTCACATCTATAGGTGTCCATTTCTACAGGTGTCCATGTCTAAATGTGTCAATGTGTACAGTTGCCCATGTCTATAGGTGTCCATGTCTACAGGTGTCCATGTCTACTGGTGTCCATGTCTAAATGTGTCAATGTTTACACGTGTTCATGTCTACAGGTGTCCATGTCTAAATGTGTCCATGTTTACACGTGTTCATGTCTACAGGTGTCCATGTCTTCATGTGTCCATGTCTATATGCTACCATAAAATGTGGCCACAACGATTTATAGTACAGGGTAAAGCTCGTGTTAAATTAAAACAAAATATGTACACCCGTCTCCAGTAGATACCAGTGGTTCTTTCAAATCTGATCTTTTAAAACCACTCAAGCGTGACGTGTAAAGAAATAAAACCCCGTGTCTGGTATATAACTCAGGCGACTTCTTGTTCACGTCACATATCACTTTCTTACACAACTGGTGTGTGCACTGTTTGGAATTCAATTTCAGCTCGGTAATTCAATTAGGTAATTAATTAGCCGTTTGTTGATTTTATATTATAATCGGTAATTTTTTTATCTTTAAATTAGTGGTTAATAGGTTAGGTAAGATATTTTAAATTGTTTAATTAAAGCAAGTAAATTCTTTGAATAAAATTGACCGTAAGTCAATCGATCACCTCCAATTATGGCCGGCATTACATTTAATTAATCTTGTGTTATTATGTTTTGATAATCGGTACTTTGTTTCATCTAATCACTTTTTATATCTACACAAAAGGATAATTTAATTTAAAAAAAAAAAAAAAAAAAAAAAACCCCGTGATATTAAATGTATCGGTATTTAGGCTAAACAATTCCCCACTATTCGAAGTCGATACTCTTAAAATATCGATATAAATATTAATGTATTTTCCCGCCATTTGTAGGATGTGCGAAATTTACATAATTAAAAAATAATCTAATTTTATTTTAATTGACGTTCTTATAAAATAAAATATAAAATAAAGAATATATATCCGTAAAAATATTTTTTTTAAAATAGCTTATATATTCTTAGTTTATTTTTAATACTCACAAAGCGATGCGTTGTATCAGAATCGATGCTCGTGTATAAAAGTAAACGCCGATACCATTAAAGGTCAGACTTGCCAAATTGACAAACTGGCAAAAATTATTCTTTTAACTTACAGGTTAATTAAAAGTAAATGTAATATGATGATAGATATAATAAGTACCTTTAAAATACATATTAAAATAATTAATAGTAGAATAACAACAAAGACAGCTACAGATTTATATACATAGACTACTATTTAAGCTATTATAGATCTTTTTTAATATCATACACAAGATAGAATCTGGAATATTAGGACGTTAAATTTTACGAATTACAAAAATTGTCTAAATTATACTTTTTTTAAAGTGTTTATCACGTATGGTTTATACTCAAAAACGCACTTTTTGTTTATACTTCCGGTATCTTATTAGATTTAAAAATTGAGAATGAGTAGTTCGATTTACACATTTTATTTAGATCTAAATTTGTGATTTATAAATATGTCATAATTATAATTCAGCAGAACTGATACGCTCCAACATGTGATTGTCAACTTTATACGGTGTAAAATTAAATTGGAGGCACATCAAAAGCATTTGCTAGACATAATAATATGATACATCACTGGGAGTCGACAACAGACAGCCTGGACATGACAAAATTAACCTGTAGGAGGACCAGTGACCAGGGTTGTTAGTGCCTGGGGGGTGAGGAGTTGCCAATCTTGGGCCCATTATCCCGTGGGAATTTCTAATGGGAGGGGACACACACACACACACACATATATATATATATATATATATATATATATATATATATATATATATATATATATATATATATATATATATATATATATATATACAAGCCAGTCAGGGATTCGTTTGTCGGTCCAGTAAAGCTTATTGTTACTAAACCAAAGAGTCCCGAATTTTCACACCCGTGTACCTGAGGCTCTATGTATCCTGTCGCTTGACCTACTTCTGTTTACCGTCGTCATGGTAATAATGGCTGTCAAAATCGACGAATCCGTGATTTCGTTTTTTAACATTGTCATGTCAGAAATATAATCTTATAAGCGTTATTTTTTGAGTATTATTTAACGACACCGATCTAGTTTTAATAATGGCCCACCAGTGTTTGATGCCAACTTGCCATTTGTACAGTTTTTGGTCTAATCGCTGAGAATATCGAGCAAAATTATATAAAGTAGGCAAAAATTTTAATTACTGTATTTAATATTGTTGTAAAATACTCAAAATACTCTGAACTATAGAAAACTATTTAATACGTCGTACTAAGCTATTTTCATGAATTAAAAATAACAATAATGCAGCAAAAAAACAAAACCTTCAAAAAAAATAACATTATAAAGATAATAGCTAACAAAGCCCGCCAATTTTGCCCGCAGTTTCTTTGAGTGAGAAGAAATCTAACAGACGACACATTTCTGCTGAACGGTAAAACGGGTCACAACAACAGTCCTTTAAAATTCACCCACCGTTTCCGTCATATCATAGTAGTCATTTAAAAACAAAATTCATTTTTTCACAAATTATTTTCTAGGCTACCGATTAATTTTGATAATTAAAACTGGTAACAAATTAAAGATAAATAAATGTAGATTTTAATAATTTAAGTCATCTTCAACAATACAATTAGGTCCCCTACTGCCTTGTCATATTTTTGGATGGGCAAACAAAGGCTTTGGAAGCAAATAAAAAAAAATATATCATTCACGTTCAGTATGAAACGTCCGTCATCATATTGTATTTGGCATCATTGGAAGAGATGATATATTTTAACAATATCATTAAATTAGTTACTGAATGATAAGTTCAACTCCCACCCCCCCACCCAAAAAAAGTCTACCGCCCCCCTCCCCTACCTGAAAATATCAAGTGCCCCCCCCCCCCCCCCCAACGCGGAGCAAAAAAAAGTCTGTAAGAAACACGGCTCAGAACACAGTATTAAAGTTGATAAACTCGTATGGACAGTCTTGGGACTGGAGCGGCTACACACAATTTCTCTCAACCAAACGTCACTTCTTATTTTTGCCATGTAGATTTATTATGATATAGATTCTGATACTTGATAGTGATATTTTAGACCTGCTACAAAATTTTATTTTTTGGCTTCATAAATGTTGTTTATGGCAACAAAAGTTCTAACTGTTCTGGCTATCCAAAGCCGATCTTCATTTCTGCTAGCGATAGTCCTAGTCCAGGGCAGAGACTGCGTTACACTCGGTCTCAGCTTTCGATTATCCAAGGTCTGCGATCTCAAAACAGATCTAGTCTAGATTTAGAGCTAGATCTAGATCTAGAGCTAGTCCAGATATTTGATTTAAAATTCTAATTGTAGCTCTAGTCTTAGTCTTACTGCTATAGTGTAACTGCTATGAAGTATCAGTAGGCCTATATGTAAAATTGTAAGCCCACCACTCACTACCTGAGTACCAGGGAAAAATACTAAAATAGTTATCTAGATCTAGTAAGATACGATTTTCTCTAGATCTAGAGAAATCTAGAATCTAGATTATATATCTAGATTTAGAATCTAGATCTGGGTCTCAAAAAAACTTCAACTAGAGTCTAGATCTAGTTTTTTATCTAGATCTATAAAAAAAATATAACTACTCTAGTAGTAGTGAGTATAGATTTTATAGATTATAGATATATCTAGGTCTAATAGATCTATATATTATATAGTTTTATATTAGGGAATTATAGGCCTAACCATATAGTCTAGATCTAGAAGCTCTAGATCTAATTTGAAATTTCCATAATGTTTTATTTAAAACGTGGATAATCATGAATACTACTTTAATACTTTATTATTCACATTTGGCTTTGGCTCTTGAATTAGTAGAATCTGAATATAGAGTCGCAGACGTAGATCTAGATTTAATTTCTAGCATTAAACATTATGTAATAGATTGTGATAATTATGAGGTCAAGGGAACTCACTCTTCTGTATTAGTATTATATTTATATTGTTATCTTGAGTGATGTCCCTTACATGTTTATGTGTATTATGTATCTCTCGTCACTTCCTCTTCCTCTCTTTGCATCATGGCGTCTGTAAATAAAGACTGTTAACAACCAATGTGGCTTCCTCGTCAATCTACCTCACATTAGGCATAATGATTAAACTTGCTTTTTAACTTGGGCTTTATGCCTAGCAGTAGCAGTTTAGACTAGTTAAGAGTAAGACTTTAACATTTTAGAAAATAATTGATTTAAAATTGCTAAGAAACTCAAAACTATTCAGTAATATATTAGATTCCTCTAGATTCTAGATCTAGTATTCTTTTAGCAAAAACCTGTTGAAAAATATTGTAAATATCTAGATCTTGTAACCTGTAGCCTAATCAATCAATAATAAAACTTTAAAATCCCAAACTATGTTATGTTCTTCTTTAATTGTTCATGATAAATCAAAAATATTGCCATATTATAGTTCTATGCTAATGACAGTTCCACCATAAATGTTGTCATTCTATAGTTCCATGCTAATGACAGTTCCATTATAAATGTTGTCATTCTGTAGTTCTATGCTAATGACAGTTCCATCATAAATGTTGTCATTCTGTAGTTCTATGCTAATGACAGTTCCACTATAATTTTATTTCTCTCTCCAGAGCCTGAAGGATCTTCTATAGTGGTGTGTTCTGTCTGATGTTAAAGTCAAGTGGGGAGTTCAAAGGTCAGTCAAACTATCTTACATGTTAGTCTAAGAATGTATTTAATCTTAATCTTCTAAAGCTGACCATCATGCTGTATTCTGTTAGCCATATCATTGACCAGTGGCTATTGTTATGTAGTTTGTAAAGAAACACTGGTTGATGACTAGTCAAGCTACCATATAAACTTCTTTCTTTAAAAAGTCAAAATATTATTAACTATACAGAGTGACAGCTGCTGAATGTGATGTGAAGGTCAAGGTTATTTCAATCAAATAGCTGCCACAGATGACCATAAGACTACAGTAAAGGCCAGTAGAGATCTGTCACATCAAGTTACAGGTAAGTTTGTTAATTATCTTTTAACCCTTTATTTACGGAATTAGGTTCCGAATGATATTTTTTCTTAAACAATATGTTATCATATTGCTTTTGGCACATTTAAAGCATATGTCGAAGGAAATTTTGTTTCATAAATTTTTAAGGGCCCAAAAATGTATTGGTACTTATAAGTACCGTCAGGAATGTAGGACATTTTTTTCAAAAATTAAAAAATGTACAAAACAGGAAAAAACGATACAACTTATTTAATAATAGCATGGCAATCATTATAACAATCATTTTTTGTCATTTTCACACATAAACCCAGCACAAAAGTATATTTTGAGTACAATTTTTACTGGATTTTCTATCGGAACATATCTCAGACCTCAAACACAGGAAAAGGTGCCGACATGTCATGCTCTCTCATTCCTCATTCCTGAGATATTCTTGTCTGTCGTCTTTCTGGCGTGGTAACAGTTGCCGGACTGAACCTGCTTTTGCTAGAGGCTTCCAATAGCCATTACAATGAGCCGCATAAACAAATATTTTGAAAACGAAAGCCTATTCATTCAGTACACTACTACTAGTAATACTAGTATAATTGTAGCCTAGAATGTTATGACAAGTCTACACTACAGTGTAAAGTTCATAAATAGAAGTGAGCTCAATGTGTTTGGAATAGACGTAGTGCCCTACTGTTTTGTGTTTACTGATTCAAAATTACAAAACGATCTATACTACATGCAGATGTATGGACTATTACTAGTCTACATGTGTACATTACGTACACGTTAGATATTGTATGCAAGACAGTTTTTTGCAACAAATATAACTTACAAATCTTACTTCTAGAACTAGACTTTGGTATACAAATAACGTATACTAAACCTAGTAAATGAGCCTGCAACTGCCATCTCTATTCTTGTTATTCTTTTACTACTAGAAATCTGCAATTAGTTACAATATTTCTGCGGAAAACCCTATGCTAACCTTCTTATAAATGCATAAATATATGTTTTTAAGTACATTTCGATAATTAATTATCAAAATAATATTTATGTCACTCCACATAAAAAATCAGCAATTTCCAAGAAATCCTAAAAAAATGTCAGTGTGCCCTGACGGTACTTATAAGTCCACTTGTAAACATCGATCTATTACAAAGACAATTTGATAAAAATTGTATAACTAGAAGTTAAATGCATTTGCCTGACTATTGAAGATGCCAATAAAAAATATTCGGTGTTGAAAACTTGAAGAATAAGGTAAAACAAAGGGAAATCAGGAACACATGTGAGATATGTACAGAACAATTGTGAACTACCGATACAGGTAGAGATTGAAAATGGCGCCACACCAGTAATTTTCAAAAAACATCGTTCCCTCCACCTACCTGTGACTCAAGGGAGATAATACTATCAATTACATCAATAATTTTTAAAATTCGTCCTAAATTAAAAACAATACAGGCGCTTAATTAAAGTGGTACTTATAAGTACCGTCAGTAGATAAAGGGTTAACTTAATCAAGTGTACAGTCATGGTTTAGTGCTGATGTAGACAATGTGTCAAATCTTTGTGTTGTGGTTTTTTTTAACAGGAATTAGCTTGGATAGTCTAGATGACGATAACACTATGGCCAGTGGAGAGGATAATCTAGATGACCACAACAGTATGGCCAGTAGAGAGGATAGTCTGGATGACCACAACAGTATGGCCAGTGGAGAGGATATCTCAACATATTTTACAGGTAATGTCCATTTGTTTGGAGAAAATTGGTGTTAAAAAAGGTAATTTCCTGCATGCTTACTATGTTTTCTGCTGATGAAGTCCTTATGTTGGAACATTCTGTAGTTTGAAATGTTGACTGAATGAGTATCTTAAGATGGTGATGGTTGAGATGGTTGTGACAGTTGGATGTTGTAGATAGATTTCATGTTTTATGTTTGTCAAAGTTTAGCAGCTAATGAAATGTTTACAGTAATAAAATTGTTTTGTTTACCTGTACAGGTACACATGAAGTACAAGAATGTCTTGAAGGTCAAGGTGAGGTAGATCTACACACACACCTGGCAAAATGTGAGAAAAATCCTGGCCATAAAAAGTTTGTACCTGTAAATCAGTTAAGTGTTGAACATTTTCCTTCTGGTTACCATGACAACGATGTGTATGACCTCACAAAAGCCATGGCTGACCTAACTGTCAGGATAGCCGTTAAGTTGACCAGTCCAGACAGACCAGAGTTTGTACGTGGCACTAAAGATCCATATCCTTGCTACAACACCAGGGGACAGAACTCACTGAGGACAGGGACTGGGAGGGTGTGGAAGGTGACCAAGTACACAGAGGGAGATGGGCCCTACATAACTTGTCCATGTCCTGAATGTGACCACTCGGACACACCCAGCAAAGTGTGGTGGGAGGTTCATGTGTGGACAGCCAGACATGTGGTGTTTGATGATAGTGAGGCGAGACAGTCCAGCTGTAGGTTGTGGTTTGATGATGATAAAAGTCCAGTGGTCAAGATTTATGGGTGGAAGGTGCATGTGTCAAACACTGAGGGAGACTTGTGTGGGTTGTTTTGTGTGACACATGACGTAGATGTAGCTGATAAACTGGAGAAGATGGTGTGGCGGTTTATTGGTCTACGTGGTAAAGTACAGGAGAAATACGAGAGTCGTAGAGATGTGGACAAGCTGACCATTATAGTGTCACATCCTCATGGCTGTTCTAAGCAGGTCTCTGTAGGTCACTGGGTGGACAGGCAGGGGGTGGACAGACTTACTAGGTACACGTACACAACGTCCACCTGCCCAGGTAGCAGTGGGGCTGGGGTCTACAGACTGGGGGGTCGCTGGTTGCATGACCATCCCCACAGTGGAGTTAACTCTGGTGGATTAAATTATAGTGGGGTGTGGCTGGACTAAGACTTGTAGTTGTCTGTCTTTTCTAGAATGTAAACAAACATGGCGCCTGTTGGATGTCTGTCTTTTCTAGAATGTAAACAAACTTGGTGCCTGTTGGATGTCTGTCTTTTCTAGAATGTAAACAAACATGGCGTCTGTTGGATGTCTGTCTTTTCTAGAATGTAAACAAACATGGCGCCTGTTGGATGTCTGTCTTTTCTAGAATGTAAACAAACATGGCGCCTTTTGGATGTCTGTCTTTTCTAGAATGTAAACAAACATGGCGTCTGTTGAATGTCTGCTCTTAAAATATTTCTTGACATTATTGTAGAACTTTATTAAATTTTTAATTAATTATCTCGTTATTTTTATCAGAGAAAAAGTTGTTGATTGTTTGATTGGGAGTGGAGAAAAAAATGTCACAAATTTTGTTGTAAATATAAACGTAAATAAACAGTTTTAAAGCAACTCGTTTTCTTTTTCATTTTTGTTTGTGTATGAATTTTTGATGACGCTAAAGTTAAGATCTAACGACTCTTAATATTGACGCTAAATTTGGATCTAGCGACTCTCAATATTGACGCTAAAGTTTAGATCTAGTGCTCTCAATATTGACGCTAAAGTTTAGATCTAGTGACTCTCAATATTGACGCTATAGTTTGGATCTAGCGACTCTCAATATTGACGCTAAAGTTTGGATCTAGCGACTCTCAATATTGACGCTATAGTTTGGATCTAGCGACTCTCAATATTGACGCTAAACTTTGGATCTAGCGACTCAATATTGTCGCTAAAGTTGGGATCTAGCGACTCTCAATATTGACGCTAAAGTTGGGATCTAGCGACTCTCAATATTAACGCTAAACTTTGGATCTAGCGACTCAATATTGACGCTAAAGTTTGGATCTAGCGAATCAATATTGACGCTAAAGTTTAGATCTAGTGCTCTCAATATTGACGCTAAAGTTTAGATCTAGTGACTCTCAATATTGACGCTATAGTTTGGATCTAGCGACTCTCAATATTGACGCTAAAGTTTGGATCTAGCGACTCTCAATATTGACGCTATAGTTTGGATCTAGCGACTCTCAATATTGACGCTAAACTTTGGATCTAGCGACTCAATATTGTCGCTAAAGTTGGGATCTAGCGACTCTCAATATTGACGCTAAAGTTGGGATCTAGCGACTCTCAATATTAACGCTAAACTTTGGATCTAGCGACTCAATATTGACGCTAAAGTTTGGATCTAGCGAATCAATATTGACGCTAAAGTTTGGATCTAGCGACTCTCAATATTGACGCTAAAGTTGGGATCTAGCGACTCTCAATATTAACGCTAAACTTTGGATCTAGCGACTCAATATTGACGCTAAAGTTTGGATCTAGCGACTCTCAAAACTGCCGTTAAAATTTGTCAGGAAACAGAAACTCTACTTCATCTTCCCTATAGATCTTAAGATCTAGTTTCCCTTACTGTACTTGACTTAAGTTGACAATTTAACACTTAAGTCACGATCGATACCTTGAAATGACTGTTCACGACTTAACAATCTATCAATTTTAATTAATTACTTACTTAATCCTCATCAAATCTCCGCCATGCCACCCTGTCCTGGGCGAGCCACTTTAGTTCATGCCAGGTTTTGCCAGTAGCCTGTACTTGATCTTCCTCTATTTCTCTTTCCGGGTGGGTTCCACTTCAGCGCCATGTTGGGGATTCTTTTTTTGCTCATGCGTAGGACCAGGGGCGTAGCGAGGGGGGTGCGGGGGGTGCGGACCGCACCGGGTGACACCATTTAGGGGGGTGACACTAAGGCAAAAAATAGCTATATATATAGAGATAAACTTGAGGGGGGGGCGAATCGAAAGTTTGAGGGGGTGGGGGGTGCAAATTAAAAACTTGAGGTGGGGGGGGGGGGGGCAAATCGAAAGTTTGAGGGGGTGGCAAATCGAAAACTTGAAAGTTAGTCACCGGGAAGGGTCGCAACGCCTCTGGGGGGGGGGGGGGGTGACACCATTAAGTGCCGCACCGGGTGACACCCGACCTCGCTACGCCACTGCATAGGACATGGCCCAGCCATCTCCATCTCCTCGTTCGAACTTCT